TGAGGGAGTCAGGAGGCTTCACAGAGAAGGTGACATAAGAGCTGAGCCTTGGAGGATAAAGGAGAACTTCTCGGGAAATAGAAAATGGGTAGAAGCGCCTTTCAGACAGATGGAAAGTATGAGCAAAGCCTATGAACAGTAGTGATGATCGGTGTTGGGAAGATCTCATGTGATTGATAGCCAATGCTTAGACGATGAGAACGGGGAAGATCAGTGGTGGAGCCAAAGTCGGGGGTCCTCCACTAGAAAACAAGAGACTGGCGTTCTAACCTGAATTCTAAATAATGGCTCCCAGGGTGACCTTAATTCTGTCCCTGTGCTCCTGAAACTATAAACCAAAGAGAAAAAATAGAAATGGGTAAGGGAGAAGGATAGATATTGCCTACATCTTCCAGAAGGCAGGCGAAGTCTTTGTCCCCAATATATTGCACATCCCGTCTGCAAACTCCCATCAGTGTTCATTAAAGAATCTTGAGTCCAGGTGACCAAAAGTATTTGAAAGGTAGTCAAGAAACGATTTGTCCCTACCTTGCTTTTGAATGGTTATGGTTACAGGGATGCCAGAGCCACTTGATTGTAGGTTGAGGAATACCGTAAGTGGTACAGGTTAGGATTTGTCTGCTGCCAAGTGGGTAGAGAGTTGGTTCTGGAAACGATGACACCACCTTTTCGTAAATCTGGGGCTTCACTGGAAGGAGAAGAACAGGACAGAAGTCAAGTGCTGTTCTACTGCCTTGTTCCTGGGCCATGACCAGAAGGACCACGTTGTCACCTGTTTTGATGTTAGGGACTCAAAAACATGAACAAAAAACAAAGAAACCCTCATAATAATGCCAATTTTTTAAAAGTAGAAATGTTTTGAGAACATTAAAAAATCAATCCCATGGTAGGTATGATTATGTTGGTAATAAGCCGTATTACTATGGAAGATAACAAGTATATATGAAATAGTTATGATGGGAATGTAGGTGGTTTTTAAAATATTTATTTAAAATTTTGTTTTCTTTGATGTTGTTATACTGACTTTTCATTTACAAATTTTCATTAATATTACTCCTACCAAAATCAGGAGAAAGGCTGAACAGTAAACTTACCGTTCACGAGTAGAGTGGCTGTGAGGTTTTTAACCACGTTTGACTGGTTTATGCTCAGCAAGATTGTGTAATTCCCTGTGTCTTCAGCAGCTACATCTTTAATAATTAATGAATAGCCATGAACAAAATTGCGAGCAGATTTCTCCATCACAGGTAACCCATCTTTTAGCCTGTGGTTAAACACATGACCAGTAAGTCTGCATGATCACACTACCATTTACATTTGTAAACTCAAATTTATGCATGTCAAGCCTTTGATCCTCAGCATCCATTTAAAAAAACTTAGATACTAACTTTTCAGTAAAGCCGGGTGTGATTTTTATTCTTAATTATTTTTTAAGATTTTTTTTT